TAAACTTGTCTGTTCCTGGAATTTGCAAACAACGTGTCTTAAAACTGTAAGTTTAACATTTTTTGGAATATTTGGTAAATGTGTGTTTTAGACTCAAAGTGCTTTGGTTTGACAATTTTAAAATATATATATTGCTAATTTAATGAGTTGTAGTCAACTCCTTTATTATGTAATCCTCCTTGAATGGAAAGGTACTAATGTTGACAATGGGGGTATGTTTTGCTTGGGTATCCAAGCAATTACTACAAATTATCAAGTGTGCCCTTTTGAACACTTTTTGGCCAGAGGTAGGAAGTACAGTACCGGAGATGGTTATAGGATGTACCTGTAACAATAGGGAAGTTTATAAAGTTGATGATGAACTATATCCGTGTTTATCATGTTCAGAAACATTTCCATTCGACAACCACCAATCTCAACAATCCAAACCACCATCTCAATCTAAGAGGTTAAAACTTGTACCCCAAATACGCTTGGTCTATGGAAAACTGATGGTTAGAAAGAGCCATCTAAGAGATGTTTAAAGTACACATGCAAGTACAGTCAATCGACCTCAACCAATGGCCAAGCAGATCGGAGAGATTAGTGGGAAGGAAGGACACAACAAACGTTGTTGTCTTGCTCTGAATAATCTGCTACAACTGAGGGGATAAATTCAACGTCATGATGGTTGTCCCAGTAGGGTAGGTAAGCGGGCCAACAACATCAATTGTTGAAAAAGACAGACGTGGCCACATGAAAACCAGGTCTTCGGGCATCCAAAGGCAGCTGTTAAAATGCAGGAGGAATACATAAGGGTTTGTTTACAACAGTGAGCCTGCGTAATTTTGGCGATGAACTGATTGGGAGACAATGAACGAGGCTGATGACTCCTGCAGGTGTTGGTATCGTAAAGAGTGACTTCTTGGAGGTTGTTTTTACCTGGAACCTTGGCCACATGATGGATTGTGTTTTATTAGATTTACCTTGGTTTTTGCCTGAGTTATTGAAGATAACATGTTTATTTAACCCTCAGTATTTCTGCAGATTGAGTTCATCCCACTTTATGAAATGTCCTAATTATTCCTTTATCATGAAGTCATCAGATTCTAGGAAACTATTAGGACTCTGGGAAGACCCACGGGGGGAAGGTCAAACATCACGAGAGAACAAACAATCCAACATATTGTGTTTTTACACTCTTCTTCTTGGTAAGGTTTACTAATACGGTACTGATATGTTGTGTTCTAGGGAGGAGGGCCAGATTGCTGGTTGTGGGTGCCTGGACACTGGCTCTGGTGCTGTCTGTCCCCATCGGAGTGTTGTACCACGTACGTCCAGTGCAGGGCAGACCTCAGTGTTGGATTGAGTTCAGTGAGCCCTGGCAGTGGCAGTTGTATATGACTCTGGTCGCTACTGCTGTGTTTGTAGCTCCTGCCTTCATCATATCCATCTGCTACGCTCTCATCGTCACGACTATCTGGGCCAAGAGTAAACTGTATACTCACAGTGAGTATCTAAAGTGTTATCATGTTTTTTTCAAGAGGTTGGTGCTCTTTACTTTACATTTGCCACATGGGCCACAAAGGCCTGTCATTGGCCATATCAAGGGTGAGTCGTTACAATACAAGGGTGAACTGTACTAATAGAAACAAGTGGAATGTACCATGATCCTAACCAATGGCATCGCTGCCTTAGGCCCAAAGTCTGTGGCGCGGTTTCCTTTACACTACCAATCACGGATTGGTCCCCTTAATACCCTGACAGTTCATGGAAATTGTTGATGGTCCATAAAAATAACAAACCTGTTTAATGTGGTGACTTGGTTGATGTAACAACCAAACCCTGGCCTTCAAACTGTCAACCAAAATTAACTTAGTCTCAGGTTGTATGGTTATACTTTCAATTTTAAAAAAATCAAACCGTTTAATGCACAATTCAGATGGTATGGTGATGCATATCAGTAGCGATTGGTTTTGATGGAACTCATTATATAAATTTATAGGCACAAATATATCATTACGGTAACTATAAATAAAATTAGTAACAACTCAAATTTTTCCAGAGCCAACACTGGATGACACGAGGAGAGCAAGTTCTCGAGGAATCATTCCACAAGCGAAAGTGAAGACTGTCAAAATGACTTTTATTATTGTTCTAGGTGAGAAAATTGTTTTCTAAAATGATATAGGCTTATGTTTGGATTTATAGTTTAGTGGAACTAAATCTTACCAAAACTCCTTTAAAGTAAGATGGAATTAGATGCGGAATGAACTGCTATACCGGTATTCTTTGTTTTGATTCTCAATATTCTCATTAATCTTTGAACATAAACTAGAAGGTATGCTTCCATGGAGAAAAATCCTGTCCTTGGGCTTAACCATAAACAAAAATAATTAAATATAGACTATCAGCCGTGCTGTGGTTACCATAGGTTCTGGCGCACACCACTGGGAGCACCATGTAGTTACGTAGCGTGTACGCTATATTTAATTCTTTTTGTCTATGGTTTAACTGAATTGTTCAAACTTGGATTGCTTCGACTTGTCCAAAACTTAGCTAGTATTTTGGTCAGTTCAGTCGTCTCCTGAAGACTAAGAAAACACCTCCTGAACTTATTAACTAAGATTACGCATTTTTTAACATGATATGAAATTGTTTCAGTTTTTGTGTTATGTTGGAGTCCCTACATAGTGTTTGACCTGCTGCAAGTATACGGCTACATTCCACGTACACAGAGCAACATCGCGTTGGCAACACTGATCCAGAGTCTGGCTCCGCTAAACAGTGCTGCCAACCCTATAATCTACTGTATGTTCAGTGCGAGCAAAGCCACCAGATAAATAATCAGTCTCAATCTCAACCACTCTAATATTACTGTACGACTCTCAATGACCCGACACTTATGGGACCAGGAGGGTATTCGATTTTAACATTTTGGAAACCTAAAAATAATACTAAATTAAAACCAATAAGTTGAGAAGTCAACATATGAAGCTTTTTGTACTTCTCGACAATTGGAAGTTTTTAAATTAATCAGTTGGTCCATTCTTTAAAAAATCAATATTTATTAAATACAACAACTATTTGATTTCACTTATTGACTCTCTCATCAAAAGAGAACAGCTTTATCTCGTAGGCCTGAATAACTTTAAACTCCTTAATTGCCAGAAAATACGTATTGTCATAAAAATACATTGGTACATCAGTAATTACATCAATATTTATACAGTTACAGTTTCCTAGTTTATGGTATTTAAACTGTAAATCAAAATCAATGGCAGTACAGGTTGCAGTCTTAAATTGTTTAACACTGTAAAAAAAAATTGTTCGTTAAAAAGTACATATGCTTAATTCTAAAACATTTTTTCATGGAGGTCCATGTACAAACCTTCAATATAAATTAAATCGAGCCTATCCGTATTATGCTGATAAAGTCAAGTACTGTATATTAAGTTAAATTGGTATACAACCAAAGCACAGGAGTTTATCAGTACAAATTAATTGTATCTGTAGTCAAGTAAAAAAATGTGGAAATGACTGCAAAGACAGACAGAAGACAGAGTTTGTCTTCTGTCTGTAAGCAATTGAAATTCCAGTATTGTGTTGTAAGATATTAACCGAGCACTCGTTCATGGCACCGTTAGTTTTCCGAGAGTGTCAGATTATCGAGGGTCAGCTGTACACTTACGTATACTATTCTTATAAAGCCAACAGTGGCGCTAACGTTAGGGATTTAAGCACTCGTCTATTATAATGTCCTTTATGTACGGTTACTTGATTTGAAACTTTAGTATATTGTATATGTGATATTTTTTAGACTTCTATTAAACAATAAGATTTAGACTTGGATTGAAAGTGAAATTTTGTAGTCACTATGGCTTCATGTTCCTATGTGAATGTCGACCTTCACTCCAGTAATCAATATTCTGATAAAAAAACCAACTAGATAATTCAATTTTTCATTGTTAATATTATGTTTTCCAGATAGAACAATTTAAAGAAATATAATATTTTTACACTTTTTCTTACAGAGTTATGGGGAAAGTTTGTAACAGTATATTTTGTATCAGTTGGACTACATTACTTACCGATACTGTTATTTACTGAACAAATACAGTTTGAGTTTGGGTTAATGTGAAATGTTTCATTATTAAATGTTCACATTACATTGTAAGGTGTTACAAGAACAAAACCTGATACATGTGTTTAATAAGAATAATTGAATCAGTTATTTTAATTTCCATCTAAAAAAACACAGAGGTTGAACTAAGGCTCTTAAGTACTACAGTATTTATCAGTCGATATTTTACATTACAGCCACTGCCAGAGAAAATATTTTGGAATGTGATTTACACAATAAAATAGACAATATTGTAAATATGTAATGTAATGTATTTATTACCATGTTGTTTGTATACCGAATAAGCTTAATGTTGTTAAATGTATTTATGATAATTCGTATCACAATATAAAGCAAAATGAAAAAAAATTGTCAACAAAATTTTAATTTTCTTTCCTTTTTTCCTCTTTGCGTTTAGTGGTGAGAATTCAGATAAGGCAAATGCATGGTTTTAATCTGCCTTTAGCTTTCCAAGCTTACAAATCTGACAACTCTCAACCCACACCAGGGATGGTCCAATTATGGTAAACCCTTTACCAGGGATGGTCCAAATATGGTAAACCCTTACCAATTCAGCATAAACAGACTTGAGCAGTGGTGGATTACCTAAAGTAGTTTGTAGTTTACTGTTTTAGCTTGGTTTAGTTCCATTTAGAAACATATTCACCATTGTTAAGTGAATTTTTGTTTGTGTAGACTAGACTTTAAACCGTTCTAGATAGGCTTCTGTAATTTGAATAAATAATTAATATATGCCAGACTATATTAAGTAATCAATAAGAAACTCTGTGTAAAGAAAGTGATTCCAGTATATCATCAAACGAAAACCTTCACAGAAAAAAGAATCTAGATCTTCATCCATATTTGATTTCCTAACGAGGGGCAAATCAAAAACATGTTATGGGCAAATATTTATTATTGCATAAAACTACAATAATTTATCGAAATAACAGATTCCTTGTTAATAAATCGTTGTAATCAGTCCAAATGGAATGTAATAAGAGAGCGCACTAACTAAAATATTTACAAATCATACCTTAAATCTACTGTTTAACTGAAATATACATATTATATAACAATATTCATTATAATAAAGGTTCTATATACAAATCTAATAACAACCATAGAGGGATTAGTATACAAAACATTCAACCTTAAACATAATAGGACAAACCTCTGTTGTAAAATACAATGTAATACATGATAATAATACATTCTCCAATCAACATCAGATAAAAACTATGAAAGCATTAATTTACATTTGAAGCATAATGTAACAGTTTCAGAATAACAACTTTGTGAAATAGAATAAAATAATGAGACTTAACAAATTTATCTAAAACGGGCATAATACAATTGACTTTTGTGAAGTAGACATTCCATCTATATGAACCAGATGTTACAAATTTTTTATATATAAAAAAAAAAAAACATAGCTAAATGAGCCAGTCACAGATTGCGCTAGAGTCTAAAATTCTATTTTCTACCTTATTTTTTGTTACTGAGTTGGTTGGCGTGACATAAAAAATGTTTTAGCTTACAATAAGTCATCCTACTAGTTTGATTTAGTTAAAAATGTATGTGCTTGACAGAAATGAATTACTTTACATCAGCGTAATCGTCAGTGGTTCTATACATCAACTACGACCATTTAGATTTTTTTAACTAGCGACAACTTTAACACAGATGATGGAATGTCTAGTTTCATCAATAGTCAAAGATATTACTTCAATTTAACAGCTGTAATAAATGTGTATATCCGTATGACTTTGTACATAACAAAAGCGGTAACTTACAATGCTTGTACAAGAGATTTGTTTGCTGCAACTAATCTGCAGACTAAGCAAATTTACAGCCATTTTCTTAGCACTTGTCAAAACAAGTACACAGTGAAAGGGATTTTAAACTTATATCCACACAGTTATCCCTTAATAGTATTGGCTCAATGAGTACTTAGGTTTGCTGCTACAAAGAACACAAATAATTTGTTGCTTGGATTAAACTTCTAGTCAAACAAAAAACATAAGTCAAAGAATAAGTACCAGTAACCTTATACAAACAGTGTATTAGCTAGCAATTAATTAAATCGTATTAAACTAATGGGGGTGAAATGGGAAACAACCTACTCAGTTACTAGAGGCGTAATATAAAGTGTAGGCCAACTACACTAAATTTTTATAAGTTAATTTGAATAACGGATTGACTCAATTTGCTAACAGGGAGGATAGTCGTGTGATACAGAAAAGTTCCCCAACTACTCTTTCCCTACTCTGACTCAATACATAGATCAAATTAGATCTAACAACATTTTCTATCAAAGCGATGGTGGTGGGGAAAGGGTTCTAATACGCACAATTGGGTACAATTTCAGCAGACTGTAAAGTACAAGCATTGACTATTGGATACTGAAGTTGTATTAATAGTCAAAGGTAAAAGCTAACTTGAGAAGTAGTAAGCCACAAAAATTGAATAGGGGTTTAACACAAGATTGAACTATTGGTTATTTAGGTAAAACCCCTTTAAAAATGAGTATAAATAAAAAAAAATTCATCCAAACCAAAACAGCTTGTCATTTCAAGAGGGAAAACTTGTTGATTTTTGTACGTGTGGCTATAAGTTAAACCATTGTTAATGACTGGTTAAAACTTTACACTAAATCTAACAAAATAAATACAATGCTCTGAATACAGAACAGGTATCACGGAATCACCAGTTGAAAATAAAAAATTAGTAATTCATTAAACAAATTATTTGTCACAGAATTATAAAAAAAGGTTTAAAATGAACAACCTATAAATCTATGAAAGGAGTAACGTATTAGTCAGTTAAAGCAATAAAGATGAAATAATCAAGTACGACTCAAAATCCAGAACCTAGTTGGTCAACAAGCTTTGGATAAACGATGATTTAATAAAACAATAACAGAACAGTACACATATTTAAACTACAAAACTTTATGTAATTACAAAATAAACATACTAAAAACAGAAAAGGAAGAACAAAGAGATCATGGACAATTTGCTTGTAAAACATAAAAGATGATTTTTGCAGATAAACTTTTCACTCAAGCACAACACCAATATCTCAAAAAGCATTAGGCCAACTAAGGACACAAATATTTTGAAGATCATAAAAATGTAAAAAAAAAATGAATCATTTCTTTACAGTTCAGCCATTCAAAGAACCACTTGGCAATCAAACTTAAACTAGGGTTAAGGTTGCAAACTTTAATAACAACTTAATTCTGATCAAAGCACATTTTCTTTAATATTTATTATTTCGGCCTCAAAGTCAAACTATGGCTTCCTAACAATCAACAACATATACTCTAACATAATTTCAGTACCGTAGTGATAATAATGGACTTAAGTCAAAAACATTTGAAGATAATAAAATACACCCAAAAAAGGTTTTTCACCACACTATGATGTTTTTAGCTGTTTTACATACATTAATTGGTAGCTGAAAGTTACGTTTTGCTGGCCATGCCAGCTATCATCGTTATTTGCGGACCGAACAGGTTTTAACATCCCTAGGGCCGCAAAATCAGCTGCCCGCTTACTTTCTTCAAACATGAATGCATATTAAATACAGAGTCAGTATCCATAGCATTGCAATAGAATTTTTTTATTGTTACCGCTGCCTAGCAACTATTTATTATTATTTTTGCTGATTTCTCAAATTATTTCTTCACATAACCTTTTTTTAAGTTGTAGTTGTGTTGACTATCAGTGTGCATTATTATTATGGTGAATAGTGGTAATAGGGTATAGTGTGGTGAAAAATTGCGTTTGTACCATGGACCGCAATGGTTTTGCAGCTCTTGATCGTTTTCAGTTCTCGACTTAGTCTCGAACTTAAAAACTATCTCGAGCCGGCAAAACCTCATTTTCGGCCCTAGGTACGAAATATACTATTACTGAAAAAACTTTTAGTCCTTCGGATTGTAAAAACTACAAGAACATTCTTATCAATAAAATTGTTCTACCTAGTAACAGAAAAACATTTAACTATGCAGAACCTATTGCATTGTGAGTGCAAGTGAATTAATTTAATGATAAAACTATTATATAAAATAACAGAAGCACCAACTATTTGTTTGAAGAATATTCGTAGAAGGAATACTACAAACAACAGAACTTCAAACACGATAACAACTCTTAATTCTGCTAATATTACTTTCTCTTTAGATCCACATGGAAAGAAAAATACTTACGATAACACTTATACTACACTTATAATAAAATTTACGTTTAATCAAGTCGTGAATCCGATGGACTTTCCAGCATTTCCATCAGAAAGGTGTCGATGGGAGCATCACCAATGAGCTGCAAATAGAAAATAACAGGTGAATCTCACACAAACCCAATATATTCAGGATCATAACAATATAAGAACATGAACTTTTCAACAATAAACAATGAATATCTGAATAACACAAGCAAAAAGGTTGAGTAACCATGAAAAATGTTAAACATTATTTTATTAACACCCCTAGTTTGAATAATGAATTTTAAAACCCCATCTTACCTAAACCCAAGGCTAAAAGCTCCCTTAAAATGTTCTGATCCATTCTAAACATCTTACATCATACCCTAACTTTACCCCTTGTGTAATCGATAGAAACAAAGTCACTGGGACATTAAAGTACAGTAGAAACCCTCATATCCGACCCAGACAGGACCGGGAAAGGGTGGATATTGGGAGGAGCACAGCAACTTTCATAACAAGTAAAAAAATTATTTATTTTTAACAAAGATTACAACATATAACAATGAATACTATCGGGCGAAGCTCAGGTCAGGTCGAGCCAGATGCATATTTCGCAACCAACGTGAAGGATTTGTGAAGATGCGTTGTTGAAAATGGACTATATTTACCGTGATTGTGGTTGACGATGAGGTTTCCAAGACCACAGAAGATGTTCAAGATCTTGCCATAAATAGCATGTCCTTGATCTCACCGTAACCGTGGAAGGTATTTACAATTTCTCCATTACCGTGAAAGCTGTTTACAGTTTGCTGTTATTGTGGAAGATGTTTGTGATTTTAGCATGAAAGATAGTCATGATTTCACCTTGATTGCAGGCCATGTTCTCAATCTCGATATTAGCAGGGAATATCGATTTTATTGTGGCTGAAGATGTTCACAATGTCACTGTGACTGCAGAAAATTTATCTTGATTTTAACGTAACCACCCTGTAGGTCTAATAACCCGAGGAGTCAGTTATGAGGGGTTATACTGTGTCATTAAAAGCCAAATAAATGACATGACATGACCATCAATGGTTTCCTAAAATGTTTTAAAAACTTGCACACATAAAAGAAAATAAATTTACGAAAGGCACTTAAACATTTATAATAAAGAACATGTGATCACATCACTTAATTGTACAAGATAGAAGAACCAATCATCCAGTCATATAAACACAACCAATTCGTGTTTCTGGCACTTACCTGGTAAAAGAACAAGTGCTCTAGGCACTTAAGGCTGATTGAGCGCAGAGCTGGTAACCTGAGCAGCAGTTTGGCGAATCTACCAGGCTCCTCGGGATGTCGTAGTCTTGTGTACTCCTCCAGTGTAGCGTACACCTTCTCTCTCAGTGCCTCTACCTCAGACTGGGACTTGAGTCCTCTCACACCTGCAATGTCAAGGACCTCAGTTGCACAACTGTTTGACAAAGATTTAGCCAAATACATTCAGTATTGAATCCACTGCGTGTAGCGTTAGCACACTGACAGTGGGGTAATGTTGGTGATGAGCATTATGTAATGACGGTGGATGATGTGATATGGTACTGTGAGACTAATTTAAGTGTGCTGATTCTGCTACCAAATTATTTACATGAAAGACGTGTTGGGGACCAGAGGACGGAGATCTTTTACCCAGACCGGAAGCTTGCATAGCCAGCTTTGATTTATGCTATTACAACTAATTTATTAAAACTATCCTTCCAAAACTTGTGACCTAGAAAATGACTATGAATGAAATGATTGGTTGGTGATTGAACTACTTAAATCAGAAATAACTACGAATTTACTGAGAACTATGGAATCCTTCTGGGGAAAACGTGTTACCCTATTCATGTTGAAAATGGTCTGAGGCTGAAGGCCTCGGACCGTGGTTATTTAATTCCTACATAATATCCAATGTCGGGGCGACCGTTGCAGGTCTCCCCCTTTACCTTGCTAACTAGCCTGACATTATTACTTAATTTCTCTATATAATTATTCTAGGACTCAGCCATTTGGTGAAGGTTCCTGGAGGGGCAGATTTTGAGAGCTGTTTTCTTGAAGCTGGATGACAAAGAGGGAAGAGAATTGGAAAAGGTAGGTGGGGGAAGGCGTTCGCTTGCTCGCGGTGGGCTGACAAGTTCATCATACAACCCTGCCACGCAAAGCGCTGACACTATAAGAAATATAGCGTGCTGCTATGTGTCACATGCGTACTGTTATAGTTTAAAACTATTACCGTTAAATCTCTAAAATCCGGCTTTGCACTAGTCCAGAATGTCCAGAACTCTCCCAGTATTATATTTTGATTTTTTTATCCATTCACACCATTTTTCATAACACTGATTGTCAATAATTTCTAGTCCTGTTGCTTCACTTTGCTGTTGTGTATATTAAAGATTATGTCAAAATTAAAATGCACAAGTGGCTTGATCCTAGCCGAACCTAACTTTAAAGTTCCAGTGAAGTTCACAATTTTGCTGTGATTGCAAAGGAATAAAATGATGTCTCCAAGAGAGAGGGAGGTGATCACATTTCATTTGTGATCACTGGAGAGGATGAAGATGTCTTCAAGACATAGGGAGATGACCACAATTTTCCTGTGATCTCGAGAGGATATGATAATGTCTCCATGACAGAGGGTGATTATCACAGTTTTGCTATAATCACAAAGAAGGATGATGATGCCTCTGAGACTAAGAGGGATGTTCTTGATTTCACTTTAATCACGACGGACGATAATATCTATGCAACCGAGGGGAAAATGTTAATGATTGCCATGTTCACTTGAAATTAAATTTTTGTTATTTCCCCATTTCCCTTATTGCCAACAATAACTGTTTCACTAATCTAGCGCTAATTAGTTATAATGTGGGTTCAGATTAGTGGGAATCCACTGTACTCTTTTCTAAATCCCGACATCAACCATTTCTAAAGCACTCTCTACTTACTAGGATTGAAAAGGATGATAGAGCGAAGACACCCGAGCTCTGTCTTGTCCATGTTCATCTCCCTCATCTTGGCCACTAGTTCAGTGAGTACCCTGTCAAAGATATTGCCTACACCAGCCTGCTGGGCAGAGTTGCGGTGAACTGTCAGACCAGTGGCCAGAACGATGCCGTCCCTCACCTCTACTGAGCGATGTGAGAACGCAGCTATCAACAGTTCATTCCATCCTACAACAGACATACGGGTTCATCTCTTGCGATCCTTCAAACCCTGACACTGCCAATGATCAACACAGCTGATCCTAAGTTTGTTTTTGAATTAAGTTTTGTGACAATCCTTAGTTTAAAACTATTTCCTATAATTAAATTAAGACACCAAAAACAAATGTTCTACAGATACCGTTAGTAGTATAGTAGGATAGTAAAATCATACGTATACAACAGTCAAGGATACTTCAATTTGTTTAAATGTATTGCAGGTATAAAGGAACACCGCTAGAAGTGCCATGGGCAATTGTTAATATACTAAGGCCAGCAGATGTTGCCATCGATCAACCAAATCCCTGGTACTTTCAAACACACATCTTTTGGTGACAATGGCAGCAAAGACTGTATATGTAGAACAAGTGAATCACTTTGACTTGCTTTTTTGTGACATGAGACAATTGTAATAAGATCGCTAGTGTCGCTGGTGATTGCTGCAGCTCTGGAGACAATTATTACTATTTGCTGAATAATTTATCAATTTAACATTGGGGCATTCATTTGTAGATCAGAGACAAAAATAGTATACAATCTGTATTTCAAGTATTTTATGGTAAGAATTTTGTATGAATCCAACTAAGCATAGTTGATACCACAATATTCAGTGGACTTTAAATGAATTACATCACCTGACAATTATTTGTGATTAGAGGAAGCTAGGTTAAGATAGACGTGTAAGACTTGACTCACCGGTCCTGAGCAGCAGCACTTGGTCGTCCAGAGGCAGCGATGTGAAGTGAGGAATGTGTTTGGCCCACTCTACTAGCTGAAACAGCTGCTTGTCTGTGGCGTGGCAAATGTTCTGCAAAGCAGTATGCAACACATTGTAGGATCAACCGAAACATTAAGTAACACTCCTTAATTCTACAATAGTGATGTTTGAAATTGTGTTAACATGAAATTGGATACCGAAGTAGACATCCCATCTATGAATACTGGTGTATTCAGTGTGTCTCAAAAAGAAATAAGCCTCTTAATGAGTAGGCTATTAACATTTAAATTGAGAAACAATTATAAACAAAGACCATAAGTGAGCAAGTATTTAAGTGGTTGGATTTAAAAAATTGTTTAACTTGAAATAGACTAACGATCCAATTTTGAGAGCATGAGAATATGCATCAAATTTCATTCTTACTTCTTACAAATGCTTTAAAATCTTGTTTAGTACACTAAATAACTACACTCTGCGATTTTCTTTATTGTGTATATTTGTTTTGTTTGGAATCAGAATCATATTCAAAATTGAGAAAAGAAACCGTCTTTTGGTATCAGGATTGAGAACATGCGATAACTACTAGTTTATAACTAAGAGTTACTTGTACAGTACAACTCACGTCAACTTCCAGCTGGACCTGGTTCTTGCACTCCACTCGTTTCTCCGCCTCCAGTATCCTCTCCACAGGCATATCAGTGTGCATGCTGCTGGTCGACTCCACCTCATTCTGGTCTCTCTCCTTGGTCCGTTGTCTCTCCTCCTGACGATCAAGCTTTATGTTAGTTCAACAAACAGACTATAAGTAGAGCATAAGGTGCAAAGAAAAGTTTTGGCATCGTGTCCCATTGTCTCAACGTCAAGTTGTCTCCTCGTAAAGTTAACTTGACACAGATAAGAAAGGGAACAACTTGACGTTGAAACAACTTAATGCAGACAAAAAGGGGACGATTTGGCAGTAGCACACCTTTCAAGCTGTCATCTCCACTTTGTAAGGCTGCGTGAAGTCAAAGAATTTAAATTCTATATTTAGGGTATGAACCAAGTCGACATTGAGTTGTAAAAGTTACAAATTGAAACGTTAAATGAACAGTCTTGACGGTGGCATACCTGTTAGGGAGTTTTGAAGGTGACAGCTTGATGGCGTCCAAGTGTTTCATAGAAACTATACTTAGTACGACACTAACCACTATGTGTGCACATATCTTGATTTACTTGTCACTAATATTCCTCTAACTGCCCAGCTAGATGTCACATGACTGGTCGCACCACAATAACGTAATCACTTACTATCAGCTGTCAGGACGAGTCTTTGTGTTATAGTGTGCTAAATGTCTTTCAATAAACAGCTGATGTTTATCAAGAGGAATGTTTAGAACTTGTTTAATAAAAACCACAAATTTGATTAGTTTTAATTTTTTTACATTTTAAACAATCCTTCTTTAGATAACAATCCACCCTCAAGGATATCACAGACCCTCTGACGAAAACCCCTAAATAAAATCTAACATTACAAACTTCCCTAAAAGTCCTCTATCGTACAAGGCAAAATTATGCATTTAAGATTTTAGTGGGAAAATTGGAGTACACTTTTGTTTTCTGTAACATCACGTGATAATAAATTTGTTTAGAACACTAAAATAATCCACTTACTAATACAAAAAGAAACATAAAAAAAAGAATCCCCACAATCCCCACAACACAAACTCAGTCAAACATCTTATTAGGCCTAACTCTTTGATTTCAAAACCTGGAAAACATATTGTCAGCACCTAAACTTTAACGCCTCTTTGAGTAGATTTATGACCTTCTGAAGGTTCACAAACAAAATGTCTCTATGAGGCCTATATTTAACGCAATGATATCTTCAACACATAACCTGTTTCATTGCTTTGACTCTAAGTGCATGTACTGAAGGGACATACATGTTCTTCATAATGAACCTATATATTCACCAAAGATTCATGACTCATTATCAAGATCACATCACTATATTTAGATTGTACCGTACCTGCACAGCTTCCCTCTTCATGCCCATGGAGAGACACTTCTGGTAGCGACAGTACTGACATCTGTTCCTCTGTCTCTTGTCTATCAAACAACTCTTCTCCTCCCTACAAGCGTAGGTCAGGTCCTTGCGAACTGTCCTCTTGAAGAAGCCCTTGCAGCCTTCACAACTGAGGACATAACACACAGTCAATAACTACATCGGTTACAATGTCTCTAAATGTAAAGAGTCCGCTTACAATTCAGAACCATTCATTCAGTATTGTGTACCCTATATAGCCTATTTTATTCCAAAATTCGCTAGTATTGCACAGAAGATTGAGTTTTAAACTCCTTTTAACTGCACCCTGTTAAACCGAAACCACCATAAAAATTCAAATTAATATGGGAATTAAATAGACTATGTGAATTGTCCACTGTGGCACAAGTTGGTCCAGCTTGGCCAATAGAATGTAATGGAGCAGACGACATCATCAATCTAATACCATGATATAGAAAAATTTGGAAAACAATTGTTAATTAATTATAAAACTAAAATTAAAATATGTGGTGAATACAGTTGTACATTTTCAGATGGCAGCCCCAGTTAAAGTGCCATACAAAATACTGTCGTAGACCTTTTTTGAATACGCACAGCCTTTCAATTTCTACCATTGACAGAAAAAATAGTTTATCCAAAACAGCATTGCCTCCTTTATTTCCGTTAGTCGGGGGTTTACTGTGTAGCAACAAGTATTATATAGCAAAAAAGGACATATTGAGTTTTTTCCCCTTTTAACAGCGATCACCCAAATGAATTTGGTATGAAATGGAAACTACTAAACTACACCTTCTTCAAGTTTCGCCCTTAAGGATCTACTCAATAAGCTTTCATGACAGCTGATTTCATGGTAAATGAAAAATCAATTATTCACTGGATACCTTTTTTATGTCACTGAACGGTGAACATAAGTTCAAAGAAATAAATAGTGGAGGAAAATTATCACAATGTTATATTTCTGAACTTGAACCAGACAATTGATCTGTGGAAGTCTTATCTTTCGGCTGTGGCAACCTGAGATAAACAAAAATACCCCCACCGCAGCAAACCTGCCGACTAAGCGAATTTCCATTTGTCTGAATTGATTTTCAGTTAAATATATTTTAATAAAATTAGGTTTAATGAGTACCTAGGTTTGCTGCTACAAGGAAACTAATAAAGTGTGTTTTTGAGTAAAATATTGATAGCTTAGTACAAAATAAATAAATTTGCCAAGTTTGATCAAAATATATCCACAAACAAGCAAACTACAACATTTGACAATATTTTCCATAAGAATAACATGGGAATTTTAAATTTACAATTTTTTTAATTTTCTCCGTTACTAATAATTGAACAAAAATACTTTTATATACTAAATTATTTGTTTTTTTAAGCTCTTTAATAAGGTCTAAAGATAAATCGGGAAATTTTGTGTTTTGAGGGTCAAAAGTGAGAAAAACCAATTTTTACCCCATAAAACCCCCCGTAAAGCCCCGTTCCCATGGTCCGATCGTGCTGGATCGCGAACTCATTCAAGTTTATCCCGCTTTACACCTTTAAACCAAATTTCATCAAAATCGGACAAAAATTACTCAAGTTATCGTGTTCACGGACGTATATATATAAGTCTATATATATATATATATATATATATAAAAATTTGAACGAATGGTGTTTTTGGCCTCTGGGGACATCAAAATGAAAAAGTAAATCGGTCCCGGGTCTAGGTCTTACCGTGCCACCTACGGTAATAGCTACTTCCCTATAGGGAAATTCGCTAATAGCTACTTCCCTATAGGGAAATTCGCTAAAACAACCCACATTTTAGCAACTAGCATTACTAAATTTAATTTTATGAGTTCTCTCTAGTGCAACACATTGCAAATAGCATTTGAGAAATCATCATTGGACATTTAAGAAGTTATCAATGTTAATGACAAACGTGATGAGTTTTTTACACAATTACATAACATTTTTGGATGCAACAAGCTATGTTTAACCAGGTGATGCATTACGAGTGGCTAGGTTGACGTGTTAACGTGGTCAAGTGTTGAGCAACCGATATAACCTTGACATTGGCATTGAACAAGACCTTGCCAGAGCGTAGTTCCTTCCTCTCCCTTTAACTACAATAGCCTCAACAACATACTCATGCATTCATTCAAACTTTACCTACGACTTGGCCAAACATTTTCGTGGAACATTTGATTTGATTAATCAACCTTAATGTTTTTCAGATGATATTTTCAATGACTACTGTTGTATTTCACTGCAACACAGTGCATTTTTATTGTTTAGGGCCTAGCCTCAAAAACTACACTTTTAAGTATGGTTATATTATAATTCATGGCAATGAACATATTTTTAATTTACGGGGCAGCATTTTTTAGTATAAAACAAAGCAAGGCCCCACTAGAAAACAGGCCATGCTGCAGCGCGGGCAGCGCAACACTACGTCACAGTGGTGGATAGTTGTACTAAACTCTTACCATTAAAATCTTACAAACAACCAGCTTGTTTATTTACCAAAAACATATGGGAATGGTGATGGCAATGAATTTATCAATGAAATCTATCCACTAGTGTGACGTCATGGATCCTGCAGCATGGCCTGCTTTTTCTAGTGGGGGCTTGAACACAGACAACTTCTTTGGTATTGACCCTCTTATTTTTTTCACACATGACAGTAACCAATTGATTTGCGCTACATGATAAATTGATTTTAAAAACAAATGTTATGGAATGAATATAATTTAACTTTAGACCAAAAATAATTCAGACAGATAAGGTATTATCCACCATTTTATGAACCAAATGATTACTTGTGGATACCATTAATCTAAAAAAGCGAGTTTTAAAGAAGCTACAAATTCCAGAGAATCAAAAGTAATTACCCAGATCCAAATCTACAAAGCATGTTGATTTTGCTCTTAAACTTTACCTAACTTATAGTAATGTAACAATGGTGCGGTAATTACCTGTAAACCCCATAGTGTTTTCCACTGGCTCTGTCGCCACAGATAGAACACAAGTGTTTGGAGCCTGACAGTGGATGGTTGGGAGGGTAAGGTGAGTTGGCAGCACTGGAGTTGTTAAGAATACTACTCGGACCCATCTGGAAACCTCTGAAACATACCATCATCAGACAGGTTAGTTGTATGACACACAGTACAATTCTACAATGAACTTGATAAATTTTGTTTCGTCATCATCACAGTTTTACTAAATATCATTAAGATGAAATCGGACCACAATTGCTAAAGATATTGTGTTAGTGTTCAAGGACCCATATATACTTCAAAACTACAACAATAGTGTTTTCGGCTTCTGGAGACATACAAATAAAAAAGTAAATTGGACCATGGCCTAGGTGATAACTTTCTTTTTAAGGTAGGCCTAATCACTTCTTCCCAATTAAATCGCTAAACACAAAAAATGTTAAACATATTTCTGAAGGACAGACGTCCGACACATACTTGAAGTAACAATATCAAATGATTGTCTGTAGTATTTCATTATAGAAAAACTTTACTAATCCAGCATTGGGGGTCCGCGGAATTGGCTAACTCTGGAACTCGCTAACCCCATGTTAAACGCCCTATCTTCAAATTTGGTCGATGATAGGAACTCGCTAACTTGTTGAGCCAGGTTAGCGAATCCCGTCCTCGTACGGAAGTCGCTAACGCGGTCCCTCGGCGGAACTCCCTAACTCCCAATCAGAAGCCTCGCACGCCGTCCAATGGGAGCCAAGCACGAAGATTTATTACATGAATAGGGCCAGTTTGGCAGAGTTTTTGGACGATTACCTAAGGTTAGACATTCCAGAATATCACAGTACAATTTCGCCAAATGGTCTGTACATCTAATAATAGTCTTTTGATTTCCGCTATTTCAGCTATAATTGCAATAGTGACCATTTTAGAGGGTGTTCAGTAACTCGGCATTTTTGGCATCCATATCCATTATAGAGTTTTATCAAGTTAAAAAAATAATAACAAAATAAAAAACTTCCACAGAACGTACACCACCATTGCTCCCATAACAAGTCATCCAAACCCCCATATTGCATGAATTGGCTATGTTAAAAATAAAAATACTACACAGCACAAATCATGTAATCCTAAGCAACATAAATATTAAACTTAATAGGAAAATATCAAACCAGTTGTAAGTTGTAAGCAACCAGGATTCTTGTACTTTTTGCCAAAGACCTTGGGCAAAATACCTATGGTACATGAGATAGCAATATCATAGGAGGTATTGATCTGATATGTACATAACCTACATATCCTATCACAACTACTTCTTTGTTTGGTTTGCACAACTGCTATCAACCCACTTTTCATGATTCACATAAACATTGAACAATATAGGAATTTAAAAACATTTTAACACTGTTTAACATTAAATGAACTGAGGAATTGCAAACTTAAAAAAATGTATTTGACTTTCATTTTAGCTGAGGGATGTGAATCAAAGAATAATTAAAACTAGTGTACATGTTGCTCGAATTCGAGCAATTGCAAAGTATTGCAGGAGTTATTTCAAAACGAATTGCACAGGTCATATTTACAATGAGTTTAAAAGAGTCAACTCAAAGATTACCGGTGTGTAACTCATGGAGAATATATAACGGTAATAAACATTTCCTGTAAATATTTGATCATATTTCATAACCTGGTATTGCTTTTTAATGTTTTCTACAACATTTCCTGACTTATAGCCAAATAAGATTGTCCATGTTTATCTTTTTTATTGATAAACCTAAAGCATTCCGGTTGGTTTTCTCCTTCTCAAAATGCCTCGCTGTACATGCAATACAGGTCATTGATAGAGGGCCAATTGAGAACGAAAAGTCGTTTTGGGGTAGTGTTAGTGCGCATTGTTAACCTAATAGTTGAGATTGTCCAGGGTCAGGTGCTGACTGTGTTGAGTTAAGCCACTGTTCTGTAGCTGCGGTCGTTATCACGATTAGACTACGCCTCCTGTCTATGTTTTGTTGTCGTCGCGTCGGAGGAATTTAAAAGAAAGAAACAAATTATAGCTACACAAAACCACGATAAATGCACAAATTTAAGATACAGCCATACTAACACGATCCGTCTTGGGGGTTATGTTTACACAAACTCAATGTACTGCAATAATATCATACAGCTGATCAAAATGTAAACAATTATGTTCTCCATAAGGATAACATGGGAACTTTCGAAGCCACTGGGGCAGAGCCCAAGGGACTTTTTCAAAAATGTAAGGCCAGTTTGCAAATCTACGCGACACACGGAAGTGTCACTAATCGGATTATAAAGGGTCGGGCGGGACCGGCCGATAATGACCCTGCCCGTCCGTCTGGGCTGCCTCAACTTAGGGTGGCGAGACCTATAATTGCTGCATTTACTTACTTTTATCACACTCATTTTACTTTGCCGCACTCCAGTTTTCCAGCCAAAGAACACAAACCAGTTTGCTTTTATGAGGCATGTAATATGTGTAAACTTTAAAATAAGTTGGCAACACTTTATGATGCTACAACTACGATCAGCTGGTGCATTGAGTATTGATACTATGACTTAACCTGTTGTTTTGTGTTAAATTTCTATTTTTGTTCAAACGCTTAGATTTAGCCTAACCTAAAACTTCTTGTTTAGTGTTTGAAAGACTAACTATTTATATGCTTTATTGTAGGAAAAATACAATGTGAATCCTTTAGTTAGTATGTAGCAAGACTACAAGATCGTGCCACTCGTCCTACACTCATCTCCATTCATACTTGGCTTAAAATACCTACATTGTATGGTAGCCATTTCAATTAAAAGTCTGTTAAATATGTCTAATGTTTAAAGCTTACCCAGGACTATGAGGTCCTCCTGGACTGAACCCCCCTCCACACAGTATCCTTTTGTCTGGCTTCATATCTAGGGGTGACTGAGGTCCTACTGAAGTCAGGGAGATGTTGCTGTCCAAACTGAGACCTGTAACAGACAACAAACACAATCAGTACATCACAAAAACATAATAATACTACTAAGTACCTAGAAACATCAACACCACAATAACTAAAGTGAGGGAGGTAATAGACTAGTGAAAGTAAGAAAAGTAAAGTAATATTAGCCTTTTGAGCTTACACCCCCTACAAGTAACCTACAACGTTAGAACTTTTCAGGTGTAATAACTCCACTGGCATCATTATTTAAGAACAGTGTAGAAGGGGTATTGAGAGGCCACTGTGGTGAAATCACGGTAAAGTTCTAAGTATGAATATTATTGTATGTCAAAATTGTTTGGATAGGTGTGCCAGCAATAATTCATTGTATAGTCAACTAGACGAGGGTGTGATTATTTTGTAAGTTTTAACACATACATTCTAAATGATTTACATTAAATAATAGCTCAGGGTTGGTACTGTACTTCACTCTATTTCAAATAAATTTCTAAAATGTAACCTTATTGAAAAAGATTCATAGCTATACAGCTATTGATAGTCTTAATAATAAGTTTCTCTAGATATCTGAAATAGTACAGTTTAATGACCACTCTAAATATAATAGAATAAACACAGAAAATGGCTAAAATTGAATAGCCAAATAACTGCAATACTGTATCGTACTTCCTGATAAGTTTATCATCATTTTAGTTCATTTAAGTATTAATTCTTATTCTTATTCTTATTCTTATATATTAATCATTATGAATTTATAGCATGTAACATTTCCATAATGTTTGTCTTGTTATTTACAGGTTACTTTAGTAATGTTATATTATGATGTAAAGAGAAAACAATTCTTTTGTAAACTACTTGTCCTCCGTTGATATAATCTAAGAGCAAAACAAACACATTAAAATTAACCCAAAAACACTGAAGAAAAATTTTGTCAACATCAACACTCAGCATTGCTGAAATTGACCCACACAAGTCTTTTGATTTTACAAGTTGAGAATAATATTCACTGCATTCATAGTCAATATGATTTATCAAGAACCACTAAACAATCCATCACTGACTACCAACTACACATTACAAGATAGATTGAATGCTTACAAAATCCAGCACAGTCCCGTATAATGTGCGGCCTGTAAGATTTATTTGTCCGAACCCAAACCATGGCTGCTGTAGAGGTGACACGGGACTGAATAAGTGAGTGTTTTAATGTATGAATAAGTACAGTGGGACAGAGAATGATGAACGAGCAACCAGCTGGCCTAGTTAGGCTGTCACGTGCCTTCAATGCTGACTGGGCGCTGGGAAAATCTGCGACGATAATCAAAACCTAGCGCACTGTCAGCTTCAATTTGGGTCTAGAATTTGTTTAGAATGAGATATACTATCACTAAGTATCAGGCTGTTCCCTTAGAAAAAATGGAAAAACTCCAACACTATGAAAACACCAAAATGTATAACTTATCTTACGATTTTAAATTTTACAGACACATAACAATATTAAATCACCATACCATGACTTTAAGACTGAGTTGTAGTATTATGTTTTAGAGACAACTTTTCAAAACCTATACATATCATTCAATTCACTAAGTAAGTAGCTCATTGTGTGTCCACATTTTAGTATGTGTATAAAAGAGTGGATGATGTATATAGTGTTGTTACTGTCTGAGATCAGCTGTACTCAGGATCATTATGGAAAGCTTGTCAAAAGACACCTATGTCCAGTTTCACTCCATTCAAAAAGCTTCTGACTTAACTCAATCAAACTAAAGACTTTTTAAGTGCTTCGCACAACAACCACTCGGCTGAATAGACTAAGACAACATTGAGATGAAAGGTGTTACTAGTAAAATGTTTAGGTAATCAAGAGTTTCGCAACTCCAGTAGGAATGATGGGCACTACGCCAACATGATGGCTCAATGAGCCAACTCCTCTCTGGGCAGTTGAACACAACCTTGGCAGATACAACATGGCCGCCCTGTCCACCGTCTACTATATACACTGTATACTATATAAAATGTAATTACAAATAGATAAACCTATCAAGATAACTGAGGAAATAAAGATGGGATTAATTTATGAGTTTCAGTTTAAAGAAAACCTTCTTTCAAGTAAACAAAAGATATCAATATAAACTGAATAATTTTCGAAGTAGTTAGTTTGTGTGGACATTGACAAGTTAGATTTTTTTATTAAAAGAAAACCGTGACTGTCTAATCTACTCATAGAATAATCCGACCTTTATTACTGGACATTAGGGTACTTGAACTTCAACCTGTTTTGTGCTATGATCCCTTCATCAACACAATATTTGCCACCTTTTCATAGACAATATAGATTATTAGCCATAACCATAACATTTCTGATAACCAGAACTTTTTAAACTGTAAACAAAGGTAGTTGGCAAGTCGGTCATTTTAACTGCAATATTAACAGGTTAGCAAGCTGTGTAGTTCCACAATCTAAAAACACATATTTAACACTCCCCTTAAAATAATTTCTGTATTTAAAATGTTTGAATAACCAAACAGGATAGTTGTTGTGAAATTTACATCATATTTGGGTCGACTCCATCATTATTTGTGAGCGCAATACGAGAACGTTTCTGGAAAAGCACCTAAAATTTGTTAAGAGTGGTATACGTATAACAGTATAACATTGATTTGTAACATTTACAATATAAAAACTACTGTATGTACTGTATCCATAGTACATTATAACAAATAAACAAAGTTACGAGTTATGTAGAGTAATAATTATGTAAAATATTTGTTTAAAGGTAATCCAATGTAATTCAACTAGTTTCAGCTACTGAACAATCTTTAGTCTGTTCAAGGACATAATCAAGCAACTGGGCTTGTACAGTATTTTGGAGCTGGAAGTGGCTGTCTATTACACCAAACACTAATTGTTTGGAGACATTGGTCAATACATCAAATGTTGTACGAGGTTATGTCAGTATAATCTGCTTCTTATCAGCCACTAACTAACTGCTACTATCTACTATCTAGAACTATGTTGTTTATGTGTGTTATCAGTCATTATTGTGGCAGGTTCACATAAACCACAAGCAACTGTTTACATTTCTTTCTGAACTACTAAACTGAGTACAAACAAACACATAGAAAATAATTAACAAAATATTTGTTTTAAGATGTACTTCAAATAAAATATTTGTCTAAAAAGTTTTGTGCAAAATCAAGTTTTACCATAAATTAATTATGGTTATAGTTTTATACTAGTTTGAAACTAGGCCTACCCAGGTAAAAATTTAATTATTATCACTACATTATAGCTACTAATTATACTCCATTCACATTTGCACTTGAATATAATATTAATAATATAAATCAGATTCATTTTAGTAGAATTACCAGTTCATGATCATCGCTGTTTAGGGGGGGGGGGGGGGGGACAAAATAATACTGTAGAATCAATTTATTAAGAAATGTGATTATACAAAAAACGTAAATCATAAATTTTAAATACATTTAGACTGCTCATACATCTCAAAACTATCCACTTCTTCCTAAGTAAAGTTAAAATTAAACAATTAGGTTTTTAACTTAACAGAAACTACATCATTTTATTATCATTTTTTTAACTGCCAAAAACAAATGTAAAACGTTCTAGATAGGCCTAGTCCTAAAAAAAACATTCAATTAAAACCAACTGTATACCAAATTTTTATTCCATCAACTATGCTCAAAAACGCTTGAATCTTTAACCAATATGTGACTTTACATTTGTTAGGTGTTCATCTCACTATAAAGGGACCAAGAGACGCTACAGACAGTTGTATGTTTGTGTGTTAGTGTTAGTGTTGGTGGAAGGGTCAAGAGCGTAAGTCCGTCTTGTTTTTGTCCGTCTCAGTATTTACAGCGTCTGTGGCCTTGACAGTGGAGCATTGCTTCGCTGAATCCATCTGCCTTCTTCACCACTTCACGTTTAGTTTGGTTAAACACATCTGATGTTCTACTATTTGACACTTATTGAACCTGGTTCGAAATTTTCCCTTTTGGATATGTCAATGATAATCGATTATCAATTGAGATGGGAACGCTACCTAGGTGCGTATTTTAACCCAAATATGAGTGAAGGATGAGCGTAGAATGTTGTGAGATGATCTTTGTAGCTTCGTTACTGATCAGCTGTTTCATTAGCCAGAATCATTGATTTGAAGTCCAATGATCAGGAGCAGCTGGGTCCAGTTTCGAACCATCAAAAAGCTACTGACTTTTCAATCAGAAGACGTGATTTGGTTACTCTTTATAAGCTCGAGGACAATACATGTTTTGAACCTGTAACGATGTATTATCGTAATTATCATAACGATGTAGCATTGTAGGGTTTATATAAATAAGCAATAAGAAACCTATTTATTTATCATGGTTACAGGTTATAGTTTTAAGAAAAGGGAAACTATTGAGAAGCTAATAGTTCTTGGATAGGGAAGAACGTGGTTCAATTTTTTACAATTTATGTAAAACAAACTAAAAAGATTATTTCCTATATTTTAAATAAAATCACAACACTAAAACAATAAAACATTTAAAACAGTGACAAAAAAACATACGAATTTAAAAATAACTAAATATAAACACAATGAGGTTAAGTTATCAAATTAATTTGAGCTTTATCAACCAGTCAAATACTTATTTCAATACCAACAATATAATCAATTTCTATCACACATTTAGTTTCTGTAGTAAAGCTAAGTTATTTTGCGTTGTTAAATATGATACTATATATAAAGAATATATTGCATATTGTATTAATAAAGTCTATGGTTATTCTTCTACAACAAATGTCTTAGGTTTATTTGCTTATATATTTTTATTTTTGTAGTTTCAAAGTTTTATAGTAACCTGCATATTGTATTGATTTTAGATGGTACTTATATGTACATTTAAGTATGAGCCAAATCTAAATACTCGTATCCAAATACTCGTAAGATTTAAATTACCTTTTACCGCTTATAAACTAAACCTCCGATCACTTAAATTAGTTCCAATTCACAAATGACTCAT